TGTTCCATCTATCCCTAATTTATTGAGGGTTTTTATCAAGAATGGATGCTGTATTTTGTCAAATGCTTTTTCTGCATCTATTGACAGGATCGTGTGGTTCTTATCATTTCTTTTATTAATGTGGTATATCACATTGATTGATTTGTGAATATTGAACCAGCCATACAGCCCATGAATAAATCCCCCTTGATCATGGTGAATAATTCTTTTAATGTACTATTGAATTTGATTTGCTAATATTTTGCTGGGAATTTTTGCATCCATGTTCTTCAGGGATATTGGCCGGTAATTCCCCTTTTTAGTGGGGTCTTTGATTTTGCATTCAAGATAATGCTAGCTTTGTAGAATGAGTTTGGAAGATTTCTTTCCATTTCTATTTTTTGGAAAAGTTTGAGAAGAACATGTATTTACTCTTCATTAAATGTCTGGTAGAATTCCCCTGGGAAGCCATCTGGCCCAGGACTCTCGTTGGGAGATTTAAAAAAAAAATTTTTTTTAAATGTTTATTTATTTTTGATAGAGATAGAGAGAGAGAGAGAGAGAGAGAGAGAGAGAGCGAGCATGAGTGGGGGAGGGGTAGAGAGAGAGGGAGACTCAGAATTCAAAGCAGGCTCCAGGCTCTGAGTTGTCAGCACAGAGCCCGATGCGGGGCCTGAACTCATGGAGTGCGAGGTCATGACCTGAGCCAAAGTCGGACGCTCAACTGACTTGAGCCACCCAGGCGCCCCTCTTGTTGATTTACTGATTCAAATTCTTTGCCAGTTATGGACCTGTTCAAATTTTCTGTTTCTTCTTGTTTCAGTTTTGGTAGTGTGTTTCTAGGAATTTGTCCATTTCTTCCAGACTGCCCAGTTTGTTTACATATAATTTTTCATAATATTCTCTTACAATTGTTTGTATTTCTGTGGCATTGGTTCCTCTTGCATTCATGATTTTATCTATTTGGTTCCTCTTTCTTTAGTTTTTGATAAGTCTGACTAGGGGGTTATCAATTTTGTTTATTCTTTAAAAAAACTAGCTTTTAGTTTCATTGATTTGTTCTACTGTTTTTGTTTGTTTGTTTCTATATCATTTATTTCTGCTCTAATCTTTATTAAATTTCCCTTCTTCTGCTGGCTTTAGGCTTTATTTGCTGTTCTTTTTCTAGCTCCTTTAGGTGTAAGGTTAGGTTGTGTATTTGGGACCTTTCTTGCTTCTTAGATAGGCCTGAATTACAGTGTACTCTTCTCTTAAGACTGTCTTTGCTGTATCCCAAAAGATTTGGACTGCCATGTTTTCATTTTCATTTGTATTTTTATATTTCTTCTTTAATTTCCTGGTTAACCCATTCATTCTTTATAGAATGTTCTTTAACTTCCATGTATTTGAGGGCTTTCCAAATTTTTTCTTGTGGTTGATTTCAAGTTTCATAGCATTGTGATCTGAAAATATGCATGCTATGATCTCCGTCTTTTTGTACCTGTTGAGGGCTGATTTGTGACCCACTATGTGATCTATTCTGGACAGTGTTTCATGTGCACTGGAGAAGAATGTGTATTCTGCTGCTTTAGGATGAAATGTTCTGAATGTATCAGGTAAGTCCATCTGGTCCATTGTGTCATTCAAAGCCATTGTTTCCTTGTCGATTTTCTGCTTTGGTGAGGTGATCTGTCCATTGTTGTAAGTGGGGTATTAAAGTCTCTTATAATTATGGTATTGTTATCAATGACTTTCCTTATTTTCATCATTAACTGATTTATATATTTGGTTCTTCCAAGTCGGGGGCATAAATATTTACAATTGTCAGATCTCCTTGATGGATAGGGCCATTATGATATAATGCCCTTCTTCATTTCTTATTACAGTCTTTGTTTTAAAATCGAGCTTGTCTGATTAAGTATGGCTATTTTGCCTTTATTTGGACATCCAGGAGCATGATAGATGGTTCTTCATCCCCTCACTTTTAATCTGCATGTGTCTTTAGCTCTAAAATGCTCTTGTATGCAGCATATAGGTGGATCTCATTTTTTATCCATTCTGATACCTTATGTGTTTGGATTAGAGCATTTAGTTCATTTATATTCAGAGTGTTAATTGAAAGATATGAATTGAGTGCCATGGTGTTACCTGGTGATGCTCTCTGGTCCTTTCTAATCTCTGTGCTTTTGGTCTTCCCCTCACTCCCCCTCAGAGTCCCTCTTAAAATTTCTTGTAGGGCTGGTTTAATGGTCACAAACTCCTTTAGTTTTTGTTTGTCTAGAAAACTCTTTATCTCTCCTTCTGTTTTGGATGACAGCCTTGCTGGATAGTGTATTCTTGAGTGTCTATTTTTCCCATTCAGCACATTGGATATATCTTGCCACTCCTTTCTGGCCTGCCAGGTTTCTATGGACAGATCTGCTGTTAACCTGATCTGTTTTCAGGTTAAGGACTTGTAGGTTAAGGACTTTTTTTCCCTTGCTGCTTTCAGGATTCTTTCCTTGTCTGTTTATTTTGTGAATTTGACTATATATCTTGGTGATGGCTAACTTTTTTTCAATTTAATGGGAGTTCCCTGTGCTTCTTGGATTTTGATGTCTGTGTCCTTTCCCAGATTAGGGAAGTTTTCAGCTATAATTTGCTAAAATAAACCTTCTTTCCCTTTTTCTTTCTCTTCATCTTCTGGGACTCCTATGATACAAATGTTATTATGTTTTAATAAATTGCTGAGTTTCCTAAGTCTGCCTTTGTGATCCCTGGCCTTTGTTTCCCTCTTCTTTTCAGCTTCATTATTTTCCATAATTTTTATCTTCTGTATCGCTTATTTGCTCCTCTGCCTTATCCATCCTCGTTTTTATGTCTTCCACTGGGTTGGCATCTCAGTGATAACATTTTTAATTTCAGCCTGACTAGAATTTGCTTCTTTTGTCTCTGCAGAAAGAGATTCTCTGGTGTCTTCAGTGCTTTTTTCAAGCCCAGCTAGTATCCTCATAATCATTGTTTTAAATTCTAGTTCAGACATCTTACTTATATCTGCATTGATTAAATCCCTGGCCATCATTTCCTTCTGTTCTTTCTTTTGAGGTGACTTTCTCCATCTTGTCATTTTGGAGGAAGAAAACAACAACAATAATAATAATAGAATGGAATAAAAGTTTAAAAATTTTTAAAAATCAAATAAAGGAAGCTAGATCCTAGGTGTATTTTGGTCTGCTAGTTAAGAGAAGCTTGATAGGAAAAAGTGAAAAGAGGAAAGAAGAGAGAAAAAAATTAAAAATTAAAAAAATAAAGTGTCCATTCTGTATCCAAGAAACAAAAGAGAAGAAAACCACAACAAAAACAGAGGCACCAACAACAAAATGAGCAAACTAACAAACAAAAAAACCAAATGAAACTAGATCAGGTTTCCCCTAGAGCTGAAACTTTGCAGTAGTCTATGGTAGGCTAAACTCAGGGAAAGGATTTGTGCTGGGCTTCTGGGAGAGGGGTCTGCTGCTCAGATTCTCAGGCCAACTTGTCCTAATGGAGATGTGCCTGGAGGGCACAAGGGGGCCTTTGTGTAATGGCTCTATTCTCCACTTGGAGGCACTGTTTAGCTCATTGGGGTGGATCAGTGTTGGTGGGCTAATAATGATAAATGGCTTCACCCCACTCTCTAGTCTCCAGGGAGGGAAGTTTGCGCCCTCACAGATGCATGGTTAGCCACCCTTCCTGTGTCCACTGCTTCCATCAGCTCCCTGCCTTACCCTGTCTGTGTCTGAGCTGTCCACCTATCAAACAGTGCCTCTCTCCAGAGTTTTATCTCAGGCACAGCTGTGTTTCAAAACCCCACACTTCAGAGACCTTTACAGTTCAGACCCTCAGTGATCTTATGGGGGAGGATCTCACTGTTCTGTGGCCGGCTTGTCCCAGGAAATGGTCATGCCACCGTGCAGTGGCAGTACTCAGAGTTTATGGTAAATCACAACACACAGCTGGCTCCAGGATTTGCTGGCCTCAACTGGCATCTTTCTTCCTATATCGGTGGCAGCTTGATGGTGCCCACCTTGTCTTTTACCCACAGAGAGGTTGTATCACCTCTACCAAATGTACTCCAAACAGAGGAACCATTTCTCCCTATGGGACCTAGGGGATCCTCAGGCCAGTTGCCTGCTCCTGGGGCCCGGACAACACCAGAGTCTGATCTCTGAAACTTCAGACTCTGTGCTCAGCTGTTTAATAAAAAAACTGGCGGTATTGAAACCCTCTCCTTCCCCCCCTCCGGTGGTTTTGGGGAACCATTTTCTTGTGCAGTCCCCTGTGTGTGTTTTCACTCTTTCTCTCTAGCTGCTTTCAGGGGGGTGTTTTCTTATGCAAACCCGAGTGCTGCTCTCTCCCTGCAGCCACCTCTGTCTTTCTCCTCTCCATGAAAATAGCTCCGCTCAGCAGCACTGCAGCTTTTCTCTCCCCCAGTTCACCTGTCTGCACCAAGTACCTGCCTCTGCCTTCCTCTTGTCTCAAATTATGCGGATTTTTCTGTTAATCCTCAGATCTACTTCCTAGGTGTTCAGAATGGTTTGATGTTGGTCTAGCTATGTTCAAGGGAAGAGACAAGTATAGGGTCCCCTTACTATTCCACCATTTTAACTCCTCAGATCTTGGGATTATTATTAATATAAAGGTAAAGATAACAAGGACTTTAGAAAGCTTAAAGTTTTAGAATACCTAACTTTTGAGAAATAAGCTCGATATTTTACATATACTTTAATATAGAGTAATCGAAATTTTTAGGAGGTGTTAGGAAGCCATGCTGATAGCTACCCACAGTTGGTATCAGTAAAGTCTTTAGAGACAGATAGCATATGAATTCTATGTTGTGTTTTTTAATATAAAGATTAATTTTCAAATATATATTTATTTTATACCTTTCAACCACCTGCAGTCACTTCACATGTTCTGAGGCCACTTCTACTTTTCCTTATTGGTTTGTTGCTAGGTAAGTGATAAAGCTGGTTGCCTTTTTTAACAGCCACATGAGGTCATGTCTGTTTCCATGCCCACAGATCCTCTTGGGAGAGTATTTTCAATAAAAGCCCGGAGGTGGTGACTCCTTTGCAGCTCCAATGTTGCCAGCGCCTGGTTGAGCTTTGTAAACAGTGCCTGCTAGTGGTTTACAAGTATGCAACTGACACAAGAGGATCACTGTCAGGCCCTGGTACTGATTGGAGTAACTCCAGGTACTTGTTTACATTTCTACACCCTGTGAGTTTTATATAAAGTAATTCCACAATGCAGTTTGCAATTGAAAGTCTCTTTTCATTTATATACCTAGAGAAAAAGCTAAAGACCAAAAATTCATACCTGCTATTATCTACAAAAGACTTTTAATTTGCACAGTCTTTACCTTTGAAGGACCAAACAAGGACAACAGCCACAAACCTGAAGGTGACAGAAATAACCTACATGGAAACGAGATTATTTGGTTTATATACTTTTGCTTTCAAAAGCCAAGTAAAAGCATCCAAAAAATGGTAATAAACTTTTTGCTCCAATAAGGATATTTCAGATTTATCCATCAGCCTGATAAGTTGGGAAGATGCCTTTAGTTTAATTTTTGTTGTTCAGTATGCCTCCACTTCTCCTTTCATCACCAAACAAATCTATGGGAGGTGAATTTTGTTAAGTTCCATTTAAAAACTGAATTTTAATAAATATTGTCCAGTTAAAAATCTTTTTTTTTTT